CATCAACTGATAAAATATATAAAGATATTCTTGCTTTATTTTCTGCACCACTCTAATATAATAACCCTTTACCAGGTATTTATTATGTTATTATTATTTAGTCTCTAATCATTCATTTCTTGTTATATCCTAATCAATAATATTGGAAGCATCAGGAACTCTTATCCTGTAAGGAGAATTTATTAATCATTAAGGGAAAGATTTAAAACCTTTATTCAAATCAAAAGGGTGTTGCTTTTTAGAAGACTTTTCAAAAAAGTGATTTTGATTATTAAGAAAAACAATTATAATTATAATAAATAAAATATTTTTTTGTTAATTAAATCTTTATCAATCCTACTCTTCATCTTTCACTTTTTAAGTTAAGTTAGTACATATTTAAAAAAGAGCTATTTAATTTTAGTTATATGTAGTGTATATTGATGGAGTTGGCATAAAAACTGTTATCAAATTATATTTATAGAGATTTAATTTTAAGTGATACTACATCAAATTAATAATGTAAACAGAAACAGTAGTACAATGAAGAGATTAAAATAAAGATTGATATAATTACTTAAAGAAAACTAATTAAATATTACTTTCTTTATAATCATGCAGGGTACAATGTGATAGAGTAACTTAATTTATTACTATTTAGAAGCGGGATAAGACTTAAAAGATATAATTAAAAGTTTTGTAAAATCTGGTGATTAGTATATTAATAGGAAGAGATACCATTATAACAAAGATAAGAAAAAAAGATACATCAAGTATTTAAAAATAAAATTAATATTAGAAATACAATAAACTATAACTAACTTAAAACAATTCGATTGGATGATTTTTAAAATTACTCTACTATTGGTAATATTTTCATAATTGTTGTTATTATTTGTCTATAGATATTAAAAGCATTAGAGATTATAAAAACAGAAAAAACGATACATTAATCATCCAGAAGTATGATATCTTGTAAAAGGATTATAATTTAAGAAGATAATAATTATAACAACCATATAATAATCTTAGATACTGATAAACTCAAACTCTCTATGAATTCTTACTTACATCCAAAGGAGCAACTTTCAACAATACTTTTCAATATCTATATGTAATATACATTGTTAAATCACTGAGATAATGTATAATCACTGTTACCTTTAAGATTATTTTCACAAAAAATTAATATCAAGACAAAATATCTCTCATCACTTTTTAGCATTAAAAAATTGTATACTTTTGATGAAAACTCATCAACCAGTCAAATTTACTAAATTTATTCAGTTATTTCAAGCGAATCTATTGATCAAATTTATGAAGAAGAAAAAAGGAATCAATGATTGTATATCCATAAATTGAATGTAGAGAGTAGTAAAATACTTTAATTTTTAATTTCAAAAATGAATTAACCTCTTCCAATATTAGATTAATTTGATTAGAAATTTATAAAAATTGTATATAAAAATCAGATTTCTTTAATTATTTATATATATGTGTATGATTATATATAATAAAAAAAAACATTCATTCAATATATTTTCTAATTTTTT